TTTTTGTTTGTCATTGGTTTGGTTCTTCCGATGTGATTATGTGCTGCGTTCAAGATTATGTTGAAATTGTATATGTATACAGTTTGGTTAATGTCGCTAACTATTTGAAGTTCTTGGATGTGGTGTTCTATGTAGTCCGAGAATTTCATCCAGTCGGCTCTATTCAAATTCCACCCTTCAAATGGTGTCGGACTGTTTTGGCGCTCTGTATTAGATATTCTGATAGGAAAGTGGTCACTTCCATAAAGGTCGTCTAGTACTTGCCAGTGCAATGAGGTTATCAGATTTGTTGAGGTCTATTGCTGAGAATGTTCCTTTTATAAGATCAAGTCTTGTCTCTGTACAATCATTCAATATGCTAAGATTTGTTGTATCTAGTAAGTCCTTTACTATAATCCCTCGAGCATTGTTTCTTTTGGAACCCCAAACAAGGTGGTGGGCGTTAAAGTCACCCATGATGAGCAGTGTTGTTCTCCATAGATTTTGAATTGTGCAAAGATGTTAATAGAAATTGTTCATATTCCTTTAAAAATGTGCGTATATGTATACTGATTTTCTGGCGCAACCGCCAGTTTAAAAAAAAAACTTAAATTTGATGGAACCTTTTTATTGTTTAATGCGAATTTAAGAAAATAATACAAGAATAAAAAAAATATTTATTTATTTATTGATCAACTATGAACAATCATCGGGACTCGGATCCGTAACAAATAATTACTGGACTAGTATTTTGTATATGTCTAACGGTTAGTGGAGCTGCTAAGAAAATTCATTGCCAGTTTTGTATAAAAAAATTGACTTTATTTATTGGCGTTTGTGCATATTTTGTGATATTGTGCATATGTTCGTAAAATTGTGCATAATATGCACAATTGTACATGTCGGAACATCCCTGATGATGAGTCGGGAAGAGGGATCTGTTGGAGTAGTATGTCTAATTCATTAATGTCTAGTTGATAGTTCGGTGGTATAAAGATGCTGCAGATGCTGATCTTTTGATCTTGTGATAGCAACTGCCTTTAGCTGTGTATTTAGATTTATAGGTTTCGCTACTATATTACATTTAATATATGTATATAGCAGTGCCACCGCTAGCTTTTGATTAGAAGTATAATTGCGGTTCTTAAAGAATCCATTGTAGTGTTTTGGTGAATGTGTGTTGCTATCAGCAAAGCGAGTTTCCTGTAAGCAGATTATGTCTGGATTTTGATCTGATATAAGTTTCTGTAACATGTTCAGATGACTGTAGTACCCATTGAGGTTCCACTGCAGCAAAGAAGTGAGTCTTGTGCATCTGTTTTTTACTGTCTTATTGGTTACGTGGGGGTATACTAATAGTATCATTTCTATAAGTCCTTTAGTGTTATCCGTATAATCTTTAATTGTATTAGTGATGTCTTGTATTCCATGACTGTTCTCGAGAAGACTTTTAAACTGATCACTGTTCAAGGGAAGTGCGGGCATCTGATTGTCTATGAATATTTTGGCAGTTGCTAGAACCTCCTGGGAGATGTAGGATGACTGTATACTCGTATCTGTTTTATGTTTTTTCGTTTTAATATTTTTGGGAGCTGCAAATGTAGGAGGGTTTGCGTTTTCATATGTGGGAGTGGTCGGTGAGATTATTTCTGAGAAATATCGTTTTGAGGATGAGTTGTTATATATTTGCTGCGTGCTGAAGTGTCTGGTATAACTGTATTTTGTTGATCCTGTTGGCTTTGTTGGGTCGTTGGGTGTAATTTTGTATTTCTGTTGTCTGCTCTTGCGTTTTCCTTGTCTGTATTGCACTTTTGTGGCTTATTGATTGGCTAGTAGGCGGTAGATCTACATCTGCTTCCCGCGGGTTAGGTATATGTTGAGGTGGTGCTATTTTTTGGCTCGGTGTTGTTATTATTTGTTGATTGCTTGTGTGTTGTGTGCTTGTTGATTCAGGTTCTTTGGTAGATTGAATTTTATGTATATTTGTTTGAAGTTGACGGGAGGATAGTGAACACTGGGAAGCTGTATGAACTTGTTTGGTGCATTTGAAACACTTTTTACTATATAGCGATAGAAAAATGTGGTAGCTAAGGTTTTCATAAATTACTTCAATGGAGTCGGGGATATTTAGGGACTGTTGGTTGGGTTCTATATAAATTTGTCTTCTAAAGCTCAGGATATGACTGTACTCTGGAAGAGGAGCACCTATTCTCAAGAATGAAACTGGCGATACGAGTTTCAGACCTAGTTGCAGTAGTTTTTCATTTAGAACTGAGTGAGGAACTGTAGGGCTCACATTTCTACTCACACTTCTACTTGTCCAAGATTCTCTAGAAAGGTGTGTACTAAATGTTTAGTTGCTAAATATATACATATTCTGTTGTTAGAAATTCTGGAACAGAACAATATATTTTTTGGGTTGACGATTGGACCAAGCTTAAGTAAGTAGTCCTGTAGCTTAGCTCCAGCAGAAGAATTAAATATGATCGCTTGATCCTTGTTTGGGTACTTGACTGTGTTTTGAGTCAATACGTTTGAGTAGGACTGAGCTGTTGTGTTGTTTTCAGATGAGTTTGTGTTGTTAGTAGATGACATCATGGTGTACTGAAATTCACTCTATGCGGATACCGTATAATTTCTTGATACGGTCCTGTCTATCCGAAAATATTTGTTTTGTTGGGATTTCCTGTGATGGCGCACGCTGATGATATAAGAAATAATTATTTCGGATTCTAATCTTATTTATTGAATAGTTATATATATATATATATATATCTCACGATATGTTCCTATGGGCTCTAGCTTATGCACTGGTATTCTTGCGGGAATTATTGATGATTTATAAACTAGTTTGTTAGTCAAGACGTGGAGATTCGCTCGATATCAACCAATTTGGTTTTGGTCAGGGCCGAACTCCGGAGAGGGATGTTGATAGATGGAAATATTGTCTATGGACTAGCCAAATAAATTCCTAAGTTTTGACCTTAGTCAAAAAAAACTTTCTAGATCAATCCTTGTTTACCTGTTCATGTTCATGTTTTGTGCCGTATTCTTTGATGGTTTACATAGAGGAAGTCGGATTGAAATTATAAATTAAATATAAAATATATATTTACCAAAATTATAAACAATATCTCAGTTGTAAGAGTATACACTCAAAATTTCGCCTAAGCCATCATGCCTAACCGATATGTGCTTCTTAACAGAACTTTTGTGCTTGGCTTTGTAAGCACATTGAGAACACATGAAGCTGGGTTGTTTCTGGCACTCATAGTTTCTGTGCCTTATCAGGCTCTTCTTATTTTTGTAGCTCTTTCTGCAGACAGAGCACTTTTGGAACTCTAGAAATTTCAATAAATTAGTTGATTTTACAAGCTAAATAACAGTAATCACACTTTACCTGTTGGGAGATTTGAGCTGTTTATATATGACTTAAAGATTGTTCTTGAGATCCGTTCTGCCTAAAATGAATCTAAAGGAACAAATACTGACCTAAATTTAATAACAGCGACAGCAGCAACGCTGGAACGTAAAGAAAGTGGGCCGGTGATCGAAGTATTACGAAAAAAAACTGAACCAACTAAAACTTTAGTCAATTGAAATACAATTGCTTTCAAAGTTTATGAATAAAGAAGATACTAGCTATAGGTGTCCGTATTCTGCTAACACTATCTTGATAGGTTCTGATAACATTTCTTGTAATCGACATTAAATTTCACACGTTAACTAAGTTTCTAGTATACCTAAATTCATGACAGCTAATTCTAAACTTGAAAAATCAATGAAAATCTAGTGACTGTGCAGCTACTTTGATTTCATTCACTGTACAATCAACATTTCTAGACGTTATTAAATAAAATACAACATTCCTGTCAAGGTATAGTTACTTTATTATTATATAACATATTTCAGAAATATTTAATATAACATCGTATACATGAATAATATAAAAATAGTATTTTGTTTCTTGTATATAATTGCTATTTGCAGTAAAAAAACTCATATCAGTTTGCTATTATCCAAATATTAATTTGGTTTAGCTAAAACGCATATGCTTTGCAGTAACAAACTTTCTCCATGCATACGCTAAAACTATCTATGCTAATATTTTCGATAAATCACTTTATAATACGATCATGAAATAGTTTTACAATGCTTATGAATTTCTTTAGTTTCAATTGGAAATTTATCTTAAAACTCGCGTTAGAAAAGTTTTGTAATAGATTTATTAAAAATCCAAGATTTTTGAAAATAAAATCTTTAGATACACATTTCTTCTTACTCCTTCAGTGGACGGTTTCAACATTAACCTTCGCAAGATTTTATAATTGATATTCCATGGACAAAAAAGTTGATTTCTATTATTGTTTTTGGCTATATGTTCATTAAGAAAGCCAAAAAGGGACCACTCTGTTGAAAAACAGAAGGAAGAATACTAGTCACGATTACTACATAAAACTCTGCTCCGTCCGAAAAAGAGAAAAAAGATGCAAGATCATATGCGTACTACATAACAAATTAACCAACTTAAAATAAAAAAGTTATACTTAAAACAATACCTCAAGCTCGTGCTATAGTTTGATACAAAACACATGCTAAGAATAATCATTTTTATACTGACAAATGAATTATTGTTATATTGATAACGCTTGCTAATTAGCACTGCTATACAATATTACAAATTCACAGTACTGAAGATGACCGAATGACTTACCCTGAGCTTCGGTTTATATCTATAGTCCAAAGGTAATAATCCAATAGATAAAATTATGAAAGATGAACGACGTCTTTATCCTTATCATTAGAGAGGATACGTTAAGCGATGTCCTTAATAACTATACCAACATTACAAAATTAGAAAGGCTCGCAACAATTGTGTAACAAATTAACAGATAACGTTAACGAGTAGACATAGGTGATTATGATTGATCAAAATACCACATCCGTAAACATTAACGTTAGGGGAAAGGTGTATAAAATGATTCACCGAGGTAAAACGATTCTAAGTGTTTTTTTTGCAGATAATGCCACGTCAATACCAAAGACATACTAATCGGCAGAACTGGAGTGAGGACGCTACTTCAAGACCGCTAGAAGCAGTTAGAAATGGAATACCATATAAAAAAAAGCTAGTAGAGAGTTTGGTGTTCCAGTAAAGTCGCTAAAAAGAAGAGACAAGGGTAAAAATAAAATCGAGGTTGGCGCAGTTGAGGCATTGGGCACTAGAAAAACTGTGTTTACGCCTGAGCAAGAGAATGAGCTTATTGAGCACGTGGAAGACATGGAAACAAGAATGTATGGGCTAACCAAAAAAGACATTCTCGGTTTGGCTTACCAGTTGGTCGAGAAAAATAAAATAGCACACCCATTCTCAGTTGTAAAAGAAACAGCTGGTGCGGACTGGTTGAGAGGGTTTCGACAACGGCATCCCCATATAGTTCTGCGTAGTCCGGAATCAACATCAGCTGCTCGTGCAAGAGCTTTCAACAAATCAGTCGTTGACGTTTTTTTTCTATTTTAAGTCACTCAGGAGAAAAAGAATATTCCTCCACATAGAATTTTTAATGTTGACGAGACCAGTCTATGCACTGTGCCAACTAAAAATACAAAAGTGTTCGCTAAAATTGGACGCAAGCAAGTGGCGAGAGTGACATCGGCTGAAAGAGGCGACACAACGACTGCAGTCATTTGTTGTTCCGCTGCTGGTAAGTTTGTATCGCCGAGTGAAGATCGAATTAATGGATGGAGCGCCTCCAGGGTGAGCTTATGCATGCAACTCAAGCGGTTGGATGAAACTGGAAGTTTTTGATAAATGGTTTGATCATTTTTTAGTGCACGTAAAACCATCATCAGAGGATCCAGCAATTTTAATTTTAGATGGCCATCTCTCGCACATACAAAATTTGAATGTGGTGCTGAAAGCAAGAGACAATCACGTCATCATTATCTGCTTACCACCTCACTGCACGCACAAGCTCCAACCACCAAGTGTTATGTACCCTCTCAGCGTCTATCACAACCTAGAATTGGAAAAGTGGATGAACAATCATCCGGGAAGAGTGGTCTCTGTTTTCCAAATCACTAAAGTTTTTGCAGGGGCTTACTTGAAGGCAGCGATACCTTCAAACGCCATTAATGGGTTTAAGAAATGTGGGATTTATCCCTTAAATCAGGATGTTTTCGCCGATGTTGACTATGTGACTGCTGAAGCGACTGAAATGGATATTGAGGCCGAAGACTCTTGCAATTCAATATCTGTTCTGGCAAATTGACCGTCAGGAACAGAAATTGCTGAGTCAGGTGCTGTTCCCATCGTTCAAGATACTATGAAATCATAGGCCCTCGTCAGAAATCAATGACATCGACAATGATGAGACATTACCTTCCAATGACAGAGAAACAGTTATGTTATCGCCTGACAGACACTTTTTCAGATTCACGATCTACATATTTTGGTACTTTTAATATAAAGAAAAGAAAAATAGACATCAATTTTAACAAGCCCATCTTATAAGAACTATTTAGAGGAGGAAATGCAGAAAAAAAAAGAGAAAGACGAGAAACAAAGGTCTCGTATAGACAGAAATGTAAAAACAGTCCCCGGGAGAGAAAATAAGGGAAAAGGAGTTGATAAAGGAAAAGGGGTTTGTAAAGGAAAAGGAGCTGGTAAAGGAAAAGGAGTTGGTAAAGCTAAAATGGTCAATAAAAATCAAGGCAAAGAAAAGACAAAAAAATACTTACGAGTCCGAATCCTCCGAAGATGACGCAGAGTGTATGTTTTGCACTGAACCAGGCTGGGTCCTTTGTATACAGTGTTCTAAATGGGGACATGAAGCATGCGCTGACCTCGACAGTGGAGATGAAGATGGTTTTATACATATGTGATTTCTGCAGAAGTCGGTTTGAAATCTCCAAGAGACAGTTATACTTCTAGATCTATTTTTTCAAGAATTTTGCTTATAACAAATTTTACCCTAAATATGAGAGTTTAAAGTTATTTTTTTTATTCTGATCTCAAAAGAAATTGATTCTAAGTAAATACTGATTGAATAAAAATTGATTTAATTAATACTTGTTTTAAATACTGTTTTCTACTTCAATTCCTGCGATCATTTTGCCCCAACCCATTTTATACAGTCGGGTGTATAAAATGATCCTTTGCGAGGGTATTGGAAAACATTAAATAAATTACAACATATAAAATAGATAAAAAAAGATGGGATGCCAGTACATAAGCACTTGAACACCTCATACGGAGCTCTATCAAGGTTTGCTCTTACTTTAATATTTTCGTCACAGGAAGAAATCTCCCTTAGGGGGATCATTTTATACACCTTTCCCCTACCTTATTTTACATTTACTCGTATCGTACATACGCCAATACTTATATTTTTAATTATTTTAAATTTACGGACACAGTATTCTAATTAGCCATACGTCTGTAGTCTAAAATATCCTTATAAAAATATAAAGTAACATTTTTAAATTTATAAAGAAATGTTTCCGAACTCAAAATGGTGCTCACCACTGGAAAAGCACTTGTACCAAGTCAAGATTTGTCAAAAGAAAAGTAAAAAATAACAATTACAACAAGACTTATCATCAACAAGTTCGGTACTAAATCAATATGAATAATTGTTCATTGTATATAGGGTGTCCCAGACACAACACATCAGAGTGACACAGGAGGATTGGCTTAAGATCAATCGGATAAAATCAACATGACCTGAGAAAAGTATTCTAGTTTTCGAGATATCGCCACAAGTTTTGTAAAAAATGCTCCTTTTTGCCTGTTATGGTTATACAGAACTTCCAGCTGTTGTTGTGTTGAGACAACCGAATAACATATATATTTCACTGAAAACGAGCACGGTATGCTAAGAAAAAACAAATTATTACATTTGGTTTCAATACGAAAACATTTACTAATTAAATTAGTATAACATTTGTAGGTTCTTTTCACTAAAAACTGAGTAATTCAAAGTTTTGTCATTGAAGTCGTAATACTGCGAATAAAAAATAAATCCTGTTCATTATTTTGATGCCTGCATACAAAAATGAATAAAAAATGATCATGGATAACTGCTTTAGACATTTGCCAAAATTACAGCAACTACAGAGTCGTAATTTGGACACAAAAGACAGCTGCATTTACTATTTTTTATTTGTAGCATGTCGCAAGTATTACGACTTCAAGGAAAAAACTCGGAATTATTCAGTTTTTATTAAAAAGAACCTACAAATGTTAACTATTTTTGAATGAGCATTAAATAGCTAATTTTTAGGTTCATTTGCCGATTCAGTCTGGTACATCTTTTTCACAGTAATTAGTAAAGCTAAAGCAAAGGTTTTCGCATTGAAACCAAATGTAATAGTTTAGTTTCCTTTTTTTGGTTCAGAGTTGTTCTGTGGAATGCTTAGTAGAACCATTCACAGCAAAGAAAACAGAAGCCGTTCAAAAGACGACTGGGCGCCATCTTGGAACATATTTTAAATGGTATGGGGGTCATGGGTCATATGTTTGTAATTTGAGTGGCTTATAATCAATCTCCTCCTCTTGCAAGCATTTATCTGGACATGTAATCAAATATGGAATCCTCCATTTAAAGAACGCCGAAATCTGTAATTTTTTTAAAATGGATTCCCGAATACTTTATTACACATTTAGATAGACTCTTCCAAAACAAGAATATTGATATAAAATACTGTAAGGTTTTGATGATTAGTTGTTGAGTTATAACGCACAAAAACGCTCAAATTTAACAGCCCGCCAATCCGCCATCTTGGAAGATAGTAAATTATACACTCTGGGGTTCTAAAGTATTTAGCTTTACAGTACTATCGAAATAATGCTCCAAGGTGGCGCCCATCCGTGACTTTTATGTCAGAATGGAGTATTCACGCATCAATTTCATCAACTTGAATTTCAGGTTCCTACCTTGACCCGTTAAAAGATAACTGGTGGGGGGTGATCCTATTTTAGAAGAACTGTGGACTCGACTTGATAAAATTGACTATGTTTTCACAAATTTAGGCATTAAAAATCAATAATTTCACTTGAAAATTGAAGTAGTACTTGTAGAAAAACTTTGGACCAATCTCTAGATTAGTGGTTTTCAAAGTGGGTGCGCGCCCCCCAGGGGGGAGGGTGTTAGCTCATAGACCTTTGAAGGAGAGCGCGGTCCACCTGTGTAGTTAAGTATGAAAACCTGCGACCGCTGAGAGAATGCATTCCAGCTGCTCGATACGACCAATAGACCAATAAATAAAATTCATTCTCGATTAAAAGGCACAGAAATTATCTGAGATTGACGCCTGTCTGGAACATATTGTTTCCTCAGTGGGCGAATGTTAAGAACCTTATTAGGCATAAACAAGAAACACTTTGGGATCGCAAAGTATTAGCAGAGCCATCAAATTAGTATGTGTTCCCAAATTATACAGTCTTTCAGAAGAAACCCGCTTTATGAAGGTTTTTCAAGATGCTGAAACTAATAAAAAAATAACAAATCATTTGCGATGCCTTATTGATGTGTTCAATCGTTACCTCCCCAATTCATTTGATGATGACGTAGATAGATGCCCTGCCATTAACACTTCAAGAGAAAGCGTTAGACAGTAAAAATTGTTCTACTGTCAAATACGAGTTTGAAAAAATAAGTCAATCATTGTTTTGGGTCAAATATTTCTCAATTTACCCCAAAATAACAGAAAAAGCACTTCAGTTGTGTTTACCCTTCTCAAGTACATACTTGTGTGAAAGGGGATTTTCTGCTGTAGTCGCACTAAAAACCAAGTACAGAAATATACTTGACATTGGTAGTGATTTGCGTTGTGCGATTTCTGTGGATAAGCCGAGAATTGTAAACCTCGTCAAATCCATGCAAGCTCATCCGTCATATTCCAATAAGTAGGTACTACTTACCAAATACCTTTTGTATGGTATTCCTATAACTTTAATGAGCAATTAAAATACCTATTTTATAATTAAATACCTCTTTATTCTGACCTGATAATCTGGACTGGGGGATGGGGGTCGCGAATGTTTTTTTATGGTCGAAAGGGGGCGCGACCCAAATAAGTTAGGGAACCCCTGGTCTAGATGGTGTCGATTATTACGAAAACTATGATAGGTTCTCATACCGAGCATCTCAGTTTCAAAATTATATTTCAAAACGCAGAAAATAGGCAGTACCATCAATCGCCCTATTGTTTGAAGGGGGGTTAAGCGAATTAACAAAAACTATAAAAACCATAAATACAAACATATGTCAGTCAAAAGAATGTACGCAAACATGTCTTTTGATCTCGTTTTTTGTTTGAAACTTGTGCTTGGTGAACAAGTGCCTTTCCACATGAGTTTTTTGATATCCTCTGTAATCACATAGAGTGCAACCAAACCTGGGCAGCTTACCACATTCGTACTTTGCATGTCTTGATAACGTCGACTTCTTAGAGTAGACATTCGGACAGTTTGGACACCTGAACTTTGGCGCGAAGATGAAGAAACCTACAATGGATTATTGATAACGTAAAAGAAAAGAAAAAACGAAAACGATTAAAACCAAGGTTATGGTGCACATAAAAAATCAAAGAAAGCAAAAGTAAAATATATTTACAAAATATAAGAACTTAGCATTTATTTGTCAAAACCTTTTCATAAACATTGCAATTTCGTAAGATTAATAAAATATGTACAGTAAGGGGAGCATGTTGGTTAAATAAAAAATGCTTTCCATATGAAAGGCAATAATAAAATAAAAACCTCGAACTTCTTTAAAGAAGTTCATAGCCGTTTCTGCGCGCGCTCAAAATAACACTCAGCAGTATAATTGACAATGTTGTATGTTTGGGAAGGTGTTTAATTTCAAACGCAACCCTCAGTACTTGTTTTAAAAATTTCGATATCAATGCCTAGAACCGAACTTTACTGCATTTATCATCGAAAAATACACAAAAAGTTTTGGTAATCGTGAGTCATACAGGGTGTCCCAGAAGTCGACGTCAAGCCGAAACCGGGTGATAGGCAAAGTCATAACAGCTATCAGAAAAATATTTAAAAAAATTTTATGTATGTGTTTTGAAAATTATAGGTCTTTGAAAAAGATATAGAAATTTCACACCCTACGGCAGTCTGTCAACTCCTGTTACTACAAATATTAACTTTTTTTGGATTTTATTTTTACAATCTAATGATGAATAATGCATCTTCAAACTGGTGTCTCAACCTTACTGTCAACTTTTCTCATTCAGGAAAAATTGCCACTTATTT